TCTTTCCTCGGCCATGGTGACAGCTAAGGAAGTGGCATCGCAGGTGGAGGGTTTCGAAGAACGCTTGACTTCTCTGCATTCTGAAATTCGTGTGGAGATGGATGGCTTACGTAATGAGATTCAACGACTCGATCCAAAAAAGGTAGCAGTTGGACTTTCGAAGATCTCGTCTCTAGAAGGAGGCATTCAAGATCTGGTAAGACGTTTTGATCTGTTGCTTCAGCACCAAACCTTTTCAGCTCCTTTGTCTACAACTGACATTGCTCCTCCTTTAGTCGTATCAAGTTGTGTGGCTGACAAAGGGAAGAGTGCAGCTTTCCCGACGTCTTCTTCAATGTCAGTGTCGGAACATACTTCTGATTCACTTCCTCGGAAGTTGGAGTTACCTATTTTTGATTGGGAAAATCCAGAAGACTGGCTTTTTCGCACAGAGCGCTATTTTGAGATTAATGGCTTGCTTCCGGTGGAGCTTCTGCGTGCAGCCGTGGTCTGTTTAGAGGGTGATGCATTGGCGTGGTATTATTGGGAAGATGGTCGGCAACCTTTTCGTAGTTGGGCAGAATTCAAGGAGCTCCTCCTTGAACGTTTTCGATCGACTCAGGAAGGAAATTTGCAGGAGCAGCTTCTATCGTTACATCAATCCACTACTGTTAAGGAATTTCGTTGCCAATTCGAGGTGCTCTCTGCTCCCTTATGTGACCTACCGGAATCAGTCCTTGAAGCAGCCTTTGTTAATGGGTTGCGCCCAGATATCCAGGCCAAACTCCGACAGATGGAACCCGTTGGGTTGATCAGGAAAATGGTTGCGGCCTAGAAAATTGAGAAGAATCAGAACTTGTGGGCTTATCAATCAGGTTTATTTCCTCGTGGGCCCACAACATCCCCCTTGGGAACTCACTTTAACTCATGGGTTTCGCAAGTGACTACTTCTGCTGTCACCCGTCTTGCACGTGCCACGATTCCTCCTTCTTCTTCATCAGTCCCTATTATTAAGGCCCCATCTCCTGCTTTCAAAAAGATGACCGATAAAGAGATGTAGCATAAACGTGCGAAGGGTCTATGCTTCCATTGCGACAAGAAATACAGTCTGGGACATCATTGTGCTCAGAAATTACTTCAGGTTTTATGGGTTCAAGATGATGTGGAGGAAATTACTTCTGATGCGTCTAATTTGGACAGCACTTCCGGGGACACTGAAATTGCTCCGGCTCCAGAATCAGCCGTGCTTTGTGTTTCGTCTCTTGTTGGATTGTGTGCGGCCAATTCCCTTAAGGTGCGTGGACGCATTTTGTCACGTGAGGTGATCATATTGGTAGACTCGGGTGCATCCCACAACTTTATCTCCGAAGCTTTAGTGGAAGAATTGAAATTACCCCGCACTCCTACACACGTGTTTGGAGTTCAGATGGGGAATGGCGATGAGGTGAGAACTTCTGGAGTCTGCCGTCAGGTTTGTCTCAACTTACCCGAATTGGATGTCATTGCTG